GCAATTTGATATCTGTCTTCTCTAACCCAGACCAGTTCTTGTTAGATCTGCTTCATTAATGATAATGTACACCAGTTACCTCCATAGCATACCTCAATCCTGCTTCCCTGGGCCTGTACTTTTGAGCCTTTCCACTAACTCTACTGACGCTTTCTCACAAAATATGTTAGCTGGGACTAAGGAAGCTTCTCCTGGTAAAGTTCTTGACTTGCAATGGTGAAGAACTGACGCTAAGACACCAAGTGTGACATATCCTTGTAATACTGGGGAAGGAAGTGACAGAGTATCCATGTGCTTTGTGGACAGCCAGTCTATCAGAAACAGCAAATACATGCTTCACCAGGAGACATTGATTCCAAAACCAAGGTGGAGAAGCCCTTGAAAAAGACATCATGCTACCAGCCTCTCAAACTCTAGCCTCCTCAGTGGAGTTCCAGGACAATGAGAGACCCCATTGCAAAGGAGGTGGGCAGCATTCCTGAGGTTCTCACATGAAGTTGACCTATGGCCTCTAACACATGCACACACACACACACACACATACACACACACACACCTATAAGCAATCAAGGATCTTTATTCCCTTTGTTCCTATCCCAACATTTTTTATTTTTATTTCTTCTATTTCAAATTTATCTAGAGCTCCTTCTCTGAAACCCCCAAATAGGAAGGAGACAGCCTCACTTTGCCCTGCTGTGGTGATCCAGTTAGTTTCATTTCACATAATACATGCTATGAGTTTCTGTTAGGAAAATTTTCTTCCAAATTTGAAAGTTTTCTGCTATTATTTTTAATAATTGGTGATTCAGTTACTTCTATGATCATATTGATGTTAATCCTTTGAATATTTTTGTAGAGCATTTTCAAAATCATTTTTTATTTATGAATAAGCTCATATTGGCTCAATTATTCTAATCATGTAATCTATTGATGGCTGACAGATAAACTATTGCCCTTTCAGAGAATTAAATACAAGGTTTAGGTTAGGGTTTCCTTTTTTGCCATTAATTGGGAAGGTTATTATATCCAATGGTTTGAAATTATTTATGAGAAATTAGAATAATGTGTTTGTTTATAGTTTATTAGAGGTCATATAAAACCCCATTTCATTTCATACTTACTACTGATAAATCTTGACCAATTTTTAAATTTCTCTAAGAGATGTTATTTAACTGTTTTTACTAACTTGATAATTCATATTTTAGTCATCGATTTCACACAAATTTCCAAGTATATTTAGTGAAAAATTTCATAAACTATATAATTTAAATATATCTTTGTGTAATTATGTCTTCTCCCTGATTAGTGACTTTGTTTATTGTCATTTCTTTCTTTCATTATTCTCCTTAACTGTACTTTTCTTGTTATTACGAAAATTAATTTTGTGTTTTACTATATCTCTTAACAGAGTTTTTTCTAATAGTTATTGTTTTTTTATTTTTTCTCTTATCCTTAGTTCTTAATTTTGTAAGTTGAATTGGTGGTTTGTACAGTTGCATTACCTTTATTTACTAATAAGATTAATTTAAAATCTTAATCTGACACCATGGAAACTTGAACCACTTCTCATAGTTTGTGTTCTCTGGTTCCCGTGAGAATATCTTCATTTGTTGTTAATCCTGGGAAATGTGATTGTGTGTTTGGCTTCCACAGTCTACACTGTCTTCAAATTATGTACCAAAAATTTAGAGTTGCTAATAATAAACTTTATCAAGTTAATTATAATAAATATCTACATTATTTAGGTACATGTTTAGTTGCATGCATTGGAATCTGTGTTTTCTAGCCCTTAAACATGACTTCAAGGTCAGTTTTTGTGGGGAAACCTACAATTTCTCTGAAGTTAGGTATCTGAATAAAATAAATTAAATTATAGAGATGTATTTTACATACAGTGTGTAGTATCTTAGCTGCTGCTGCTTCTTCTATTTGGTTTTGTCTTTTCTTTACTTTTGCTTTGCATTAATTATAAGACAGGGTTTTTCTACATAACCACCTCGTTGTCCTGGAACTCACTCTGTAAACCAGGCCCTGAAACACAGATAACAGCTTGCTTATGCCTCTTGAGAGCTGGGATTAAAGGCATGCACCACCATTGCTCTGCAGGTCTTATCTTTAAAGACAGTGCTTCTCAATTTCCCTAATGCTGCAACCCTTTAATACAGTTTCTAATGCTGTGGTGACCCCCAGCCATAATTTTTTTTTTTTTGCTAGTTCATAACTGGAGTTTTGCTATTTTTATAAAAAGTATTGTGTATATATATATATATATATATATATATATATATATATATATATATATATATGTTTTCCTATGGTCTTAGACAATCCCTGTGAAAGGGGTTTTTCATCCTCAAATGCTTGAGACCCACAGGTTGAGAACAGCTGTTCTAAAACCTTGGAGTCTGGGATTTGGCCTCTGAAACTGAATCTGTAACTTTACAATTAGTTACATTGTAAGCTTAGCCAAATTATCTTCTCTCTATCTAGTCACCCATAAACTGGGCATAATCAAAACCTTCCAGTTAAGTTTGCTGAGAGGATCTTTTGAGATAATATTTAGAAGCACCTAAAAAAGTGCCTGACACATTTCAATCACCTTATAAGTATGACAATTATTCAAAAACATTTTCAGTGTTAACTAGAGTCTATTAAGAATATCTGGTGTTTGACTAGGAGTCTGAAGATTCTGTTTGTGTTTGGATAGCAAAAGTATAAGCCGATAAGCTCTGTACAGTAATTGCCATCTTATTTTTATTACCTATCCCAACCTGTTCCTGATCCAGTTGACACATGCAGAGCCAGGCTTTCTATAATCCACACTCACTTGGCATCGTTTTTCACCACTGTCAGGCTTGATAACTCATGGGGCAGGTTTAATTGACAGGGTTTTAGTCAGTATGAACTAGAGACAGCCTGTTCTGCAGGGTTGGTTTATTTTTGTTGAAAGAAGCTGGGTGTCTGACAATTATGTTTACCAGTGAATTTATTTCTCTGGTATACTCCTCACATTCCTAGGAGTAAGAAAGTAGCTCCCATATCCTCACAGTTTCTACATTCCCACAGGAGATCAAAAATTTTGTCTACAACATTAGACTTGTTTGCTAAACATAAAAGAACATAAATCCTCCCTGGGTCTGAGGAGGATGGCAGAGATGGGGAGAGATCATTACCAGCCACTTTGCACCAAGTGTGCTGCATCATGTTGCCCTGAGAACGTGATATTTGACTGGCTCATAAAAAAAGGCCTAGTAAATCCTTTAAATAATGGTATGGGCAATTGTTCACCTTGAAAATTGATACCTGGGAGTGTATTATAAGGATCATTGTGTCTCCAGTATGGTCATCTGAGCATGTAGAAATGGCTTGGCTTTAAATTCCCCATTCCTTTCATTATGGCCCATGTCTTAGTTAGGGTTTCTATTGCCGCAATGAAACACCACAACCAGAAAGCAAGCTGGGGGAGGAAAGGGTTTATTAGGCTTACACTTCAGCATTGCTGTTCATCACTGAAGGAAGTCAGGACAGGAACTCAAACAGGTCAGGAACCTGGAAGCAGGAGCTGATGTAGACACTATGGAAGGGAACAGATTACTGAGTATTTTCCCATGGCTTGCTCAGCCTACCTTCTTGTAGAACCAAGAACCAACAGCCCAGGGATGGCACCACCTGACATGGGCTGTGCCCTCCCCCATTGTTCATTAAATGAGAAAATACCTTACACCTGGATCTCATGGAGGCATTTCCTAAACTGACTTTCCTCCCTTTGATGACTATAGCTTATATCAAATTGACACAGGAAACCAGGCAGCATAACCTACATGTATTATTTTTCTCATTTGTGTCTTCCTCTCCTTCATGATGTTTTGACCTATATTAGTAAACATTTGTCAAACAGCTTCTCCTATGATTCCCATTTTCTTTAGAAGGGATCTGGTCAGGGAAAACAAAGTAAGAAACATAACCCTGTATAAATCATTAGAGCAAATAACTGTATTTACATGTATTATGCTTTTCCATTTAAAAGTATTTTAGTTTCAAAGATTATGTGGGGAAAAATGAAACTGAAGAATTTTGTTGCATTACTTAAGGGAAAGATTCATAACTATAGTTGTCACATATGTTGTCTTTATATTAACATTTTTCTTTAAATTTAATACTATCTAAAATGTTGGTTTTGATTCTATCTAGTGTATTTATACTACATTGTATTTTAAAACTGATTGATCATCATTTTTCAAATATGTCATACTTCTCTCATTAAAAGTTTTGTAACTTTCTCTTTATTATCTTATAATTGAATATAGAGAAGCCATCACTCATTTATATGTGCAATTGTTTAAAAACTGGTCTGTGGGTTAGCTAAAGCTTGGGAGGTATTCCTCAGCAGTAGAACATTTTTCTAGCAAGTGTTAGACTCAAACAGAAAGAGAAAGCTGGAATAATAATAGCAAAATGATTTTATAAGAAAATAATGTGTGCTAGTACCTAAATGTATATTATCAACTGCCTTAAAAATAAAAATATGTAGTCAGTAGTTTGTTTTTACTTGGTAAGTATTAACAGAATTCTCAGTATTCATTTGACATTATGCTTTTCTAAATTAGTAACTGATGGTAAAATTCTAACTAAAATATATCTTTCCTAACAAAGAAAATTGAACAATAATGATGGGAATTACGATACAAAATAGAATTGAATAATTCATAGATTGAATGTCATATAATTTTGCTCTCTGAAAAATATTTAAGTTTTAAATGTCTGATCAATCTTGTTAATCGCAATTTGTTAATAGCAAATCTGAAGGCTTTGAAAAATGTCTCATATTTCTCCAACTTGGTCTTCACTTTTTATTCTCTTTAACGTTTGCCTTTAATGAGATCTTCATTCAGGCATACTTGGGAACAACTCTCTGATCTGCTCCATAGATGCATTGCACACATTAAATTTCCATTGTCTAGATAAACAATGATGTCTCTGTCCCCTTTGCCTCCTCACAGGTATGATTTTGTAGAAGTTGAGGAGCCCAGTGATGGAAGTATTTTAGGATGCTGGTGTGGTTCTGGGACTGTGCCAGGAAAGCAGATCTCTAAAGGAAATCAAATCAGGATAAGATTCGTTTCCGATGAGTATTTTCCATCGGAGCCTGGATTCTGCATCCACTACAGTGTTGTCATGCCAGTAAGTACAACCTTGAGATCATCCTTACTTAAATTAGTCAGCTATTTTTTTTTTAATTGAATTCCTCTTTTCAAAGATGAGAATTAGAACACGAAAAGTCAGAAACCATTCTCTACCTTGGATTATTTTTACTGCAAAGATCTCATTGTGATTGTCACAATCAACTTAAGCATTTTCTCCTTAGGGGGTGATTAAAAATACCAAATGCCTTCATAACGTAGTAAAATGAAATATGTAGTTTTTATAGTTGTAAGAAGATAGCGGACTGGAGAGATGACTCAGTTGGTGAAGTGTTTACCTGAACAAGTGGAGCTCTGGTTTCAAACCCCAGAACTCACTTTTAAAAAGCCAAACATGGCAGCTAATTCAGCTCTGGGGAGGGAGTAGAGAAGACATATGTCTGAGACTGTCTAGTCTAGGTGGTGAGAGATCCTGATTCAAAAACTCAAAATCCTGCAGTCTCATTTTGTCTCATTACTTCAAATTTAAAAGGACTTGTCCACACTGCAACTGAGGGATTAGTTCAAGTTCATGTCAATATTTTCATCATGAAAATTATATTCAATGCATGGTTAAATGGCATTAAGTCTGATGAGCCGTGCATGCAGTTTGGTCTTTTGTCTTTAGTTCCTCTATCATTTCTCAACCAGGTTGCCCTGCTCTGGCCACTAAACTGCTCTGAGCCGGGCCGTAGGAGATGGAACTATGTGAGTAGTGAAGATGTTATAAATACTCTGATCATCTTTGGGGGAAACAATAGGGTATGCCGTAAAGAAGCAAGAGAATGTAAAGGTTGTTGGGTCCTATACTTCCTAAGATATGTAAACTGGTGGTAATAGAAAACTGCTTTTTTTTCCCCCTTCCTTACAATTTCACAAACTTTGGCTCATTTGTGTTTGCATTTACCTTGGCTACCACTCCTTGCCCTAGCACTTCAACTTCTTGTACTTCTCTCTCCTTACTTATAAACACATCCATTACTGTCTCAATATCCGTCTGCCAAATAGTGGGATTTGATGAGTGAAAATGTGGCAGGTGATTATGCTTTTAAGCCTGGCAGAACGTTTTGAATTATCACTGTATTGTTAAATGTCACCCACCCTCCCTCCCTTCACACACACATTCACTAACACTGGCCAGGCAAGGATTCATCAGTCTTAGCTATGAATCAGATAAATGAAAGCCTAAAGGAAGAAGCATACTTATTGGAGAGCTGACTTGAAGGATCTTGTGGTATTTGCTCAGGGGCAAATGTGCCTGCATTATCCCTCATACATTTCTTTCTATCTGTCATGGATAAATGTTCTTATTGACATCCCCACTTCCCTACAGGCAATGACCAGACTGACTACAAAGTCATAGCTGCAAAGCATGTCCTGCTGACAATAATGGCTCCTTAGTTCTGTAATGATGCAAATAGCATGAACCACAGGCCTTGGTAGATCATTAGCTTCCTGACCTGAGGTTTGCTGCATAGGCCTAGCTTAACACCTTTTTCACTGCAGCTGCTCATTAATATTTTCTGGAAATCCAGCCATTCCCCACTTCCTCAGACTTGTCTAAGATCTGAATGGATATTCTAATGTGTGTTACCTTTGTTACTGCTGAAGGATAGTGAAGACAATTTAGAGAACTCAATTTAAAGGATTGATGTCATGTGTCCTTCAGATGCTCATGTGCTAGCTAGTCTGTGTCACCAGGGATACAACTGCACTGTGGTGTAATTGCTGTCTGCGTTCTCTTGTTCTGGTTAAGAGAGGCTTGAGTGGGGGCAGTTAATGGTGATGTTTCTACTATTGTCGATGAATGTAGTGCACACTTTCCATTTTAAACCATTCCATTATTTGTACAATATCCATATATACAGCCTAATCTGCTTTTGATTATCTAAATTGATATGAATATATGATTGATGTAAATTGATATGAATATTTTACATGGACCTGACACAGAAAATTCAAGTCAATGAAATTTTTTTTACATCTCAAATTAAAGGGGGGAAAATGTGCTTTGAGGTGAGTTATGTAAGGAGGTCGCTCTGTAGTTTCATCTATGAGGAGTGGACATCAGATTCTGGTCTACCATGAACTTTCTGTGATTCAAAAGAAGTTAATAATGTCATTGGTATTTTTTCTCCTTTATGATGACAGGGTAGAGAGAGAAAGAGAGGGAGAGTACATAACCTGGTAGATTAGTAATGAGAGATTGTTTAAGAAAAAATGAAAACACTGGGACCTTGTTTCCCTTCAAAGGCCACACACAGTGAAAGCCTGGACACCCTTCAGATTTCTTAGAAAGAACAGTTCTTGTTTAATGTTGGAGGGATTTGTATTGGGTTATATATGTGCTACTCTGTAGTGCAGCATCAACACCATCATTTATAATGGTAAGAAACACACAAAGACTAAACAGAACAACTTTTCATCCAGTATCAATGTATCTGATTACAAGGTTTATTTCTCATTTTTGTTAGGAAACTGTTTCCATAAATAAATAAATAATCTGAGTTTTTTAAGTAAAAATGTGCAAATTTAGGTCTGAACCTTTTCAGGGTTTTCCTTTTCTTAATATGAAGAGCAATTTTTTCTTGAGTATAATGCTGTGTATAAAATGTGGTTTTCAATGTTCTTGACATGTGAGGGCTTTATTCTTCTTCCAATAGGGTTAAAATTTTTGAATAATTACTGCATTCATATTAAATATCTTAAACAATTTTATTGAATCCCACCTTTAACTGTTTTGAAGTTACTAAGAAGTAATAAGGTAGTACTTCTAGAAATTTATTTACTGTTTTACCATTTGATGGGTATTGATCTGTATCAGAGAACTAGATACTGTAGATGCCATAGCATTTGATTCCCATGTGTTGCCACCATTTGATTTATTGCTGGGGCTTGAGGATGGCTTAGGGAGAAAATAAAATAAACAAGGCACATTACTTACATCCATTTCAGGCCATTTAGCTTTAAGACTCTATCAAATTTGTCTTAATTTTTTAAAAACAAGAAATGTCTCAATCTCATTACCGGGGAAGGGCATTTAAGGTAGCCTCTCCACTATTGCTTAGATTGTTAGTTGGGGTCAACTTTGTAGATCTCTGGACATTTCCTTAGTGCCAGATTTCTCTTAAACCCAGTCATGGCTCCCTCTATTATGGTGTCTCTTTTCTTGCTCTCCTCCATTCTTTCCCTGACTCAGTCTTCCTGATCTATCATTGCTACCTGTTCCCCACAACTCCCTCTCCCCTTCCTCCATGCTCCCAATTGGCTTGTGAGATCTTGTTCCTTTCCCCTTCTATAGGGGACCTTGAATGTCTCTCTTAACTTTTCTGGTGGTGTATTGTAGGCTGGTAATCCTTTGCTCTATGTCTAAAAACCATATCCTCACTCAGGATGGTTTCTTCTAGTTCCATCCAGTTACCTTTGAATTTGAAGATCCCACTATGTAAATGTGCCACATTTTCTCCATCCATTCTTCAGGTGAGGGGCATTTAGGTTGTTCCAGGTTCTGACTATTACAAATAATGCTGCTAAGAACGTAGTTCAACAAATGCCCTTGTTGTGTGAATTTGCATCTTTTGGGTATATGCCTAAAAATGGAATTACTGGATCTTGAGGTAGACTGATTTCCATTTTCCTGAGGAACTGCCATACTGACTTCCAAAGTGGCTGTACCAGTTTGTACTTCCACCAATAGAGGAAGAGTGGTCCCCTCTCCCCACATCCTCTCTAGCATAAACTGTCATTGGTGTTTCTGATTTAAGCCATTCTGACAGGAGTAAGGTAGTACCTCAGAGCTGCCTTGATTTACATTTCCTTAATGGCTAAGGTTGTTGAGCACTTTCCTAAGAGTCTTTCAGCCATTCTAGATTCCTCTACTGAGAATTCTCTATTTAGTTCTGTACCCCACTTTTTAATTGGATTATTTGGTGTTTTGGTAAATAACTTCTTGAGTTCTTTGTATATTTTGGAAATCAGCCCTCTGTCAGATGTAGGGTTGGTGAAGATCGTTTCCCATTTTGTGAGCTGCCATTTTGTCTTGTTTACTATGTCCTTTGCCTTACAGAACCTTTTCAATTTCAGGAGGCCCTATTTATTAATTGTTGATCTCAGTACCTGTGCTACTGGTGTTTTGTTGAGGAAACAGTCTCCTATACCAATTAATTCAAGGGTACCTCTCACTTTGTCTTCTAAGAGGTTCAGTGTGGCAGGATTTATGTTGAGGTCTTTGATCCATTTGGACTTAAATTTTGCGCATGGAAATAGATATGGATCTATCTGGAATATTCTACAGGTCAGCATCCAGTTATGCCAGCACCATTTGTTGAAGATGCCTTCTTTTTCCAATTATATAATTTTAGCTTCACTGTGAATACCAGGTGTTCGTAGGCGTGTGGATTGATATCAGGGTTTTCAATTCCATTACATTGGTCTTCCTGTTTATTTTTGTACCAGTACCAAGCTTTTTTCAGGACTATAGCTTTATAATAGAGCTTGAAGTAAGAGATGGCAATGCTTCTGGAAGTTCCTAGAGCCTTCATTGAGTAGCTGATGGAAGCAGAAGCAGACATCCACAGCTAAACACTGGCCAGAATTCTTGGAATCCAATTGTAAACAAAAAACAACAACAACAAAAAAATTGATGACTAAAGGGACTAAGACTAGGCTGGAGAAACCCACAGAAACTGCTGACCTGAACAAGGGGAACTTATGGACTCCAGTCTTTAGCTGGGAAACCAGCATAGGACCCACCCAGATTTCTTGAATATGGGTTTAGTTAGGAGGACTAGGAAGTCAGATGGGGCCTTTAGTAATAGATCAGTATTTATGCCTAGTATTAATGGACTTTGGGAGCCCATTCCATGTGGAAGGATACTCCTTAGCCTAGACACATGGGGGAGGCCCTGGGCTCTGCTCTAAATGATATGGCAGACTTTGAAGACACCCCATGGAAGGCCTCACCATTCCATGGGCATTGGTGGGGGGAACAAGGATGGGAGG